TTCCCCGACTTGTTCAAACAGGCAACCTCTTTCGGACTCCTCACAGACAGAACCTCTTCCAGTATCCTCTTCTTCTTCTTCTTCTTCTCTCCAACCTGTCCCGACATCGTAGAGGTAGAATGTCAGACGGGTCCACAAGCTTCAAAAAGTCCCGACATCGTAGAGGTAGAATGTCAGCCGGGTCCACAAGTTCCAACAGGTCCAGAAATCATGGAGGCAGAATCACAGCCGGGTTCACAAGTTCCAACGGGTCCAGAAATCATGGAGGTAGAATTTCAGCCGGGTAAACAAGTTCCAACGGGTCCAGAAATCATGGAGGTAGAATCGCAGCCGGGTCCAGACATCCTAGATCCCTCCACTCATCCCAAAGAGACTCCAAGTGTTTCAAGACAGCCTTGTGAGGATCCAGCCCTTCCCGTATGGAATGATTATATGGACTTACAAAATTTGGTGCAACAGGAAGGAGAAGAAAATAATCATACGGATGGGTGGGTCAAAGACTGTTTAGATCATTTAACCTCGAATGAAATTGAACTGTTATGGAATTGCATTTCTGAAATCACATCGGAAATGGGATAAAAACCAAAACAAAAAAAAACAATTTTTTTAATAACAAATTGGAGGAGGGTCATGATGTCAATTAAAAAAAATATTATATAGAGTCCAATCTTGGTGGTTCACTTCAGTTTTCCAGCATGAGGTGATCCACGTTTCCCGAAATATGGATCCCATTCCAAGAGAGATTGTGTAGAGCCTTCACTTCAGTTCTTTTTTTTTCCTACCAAGAGGAGAGGGTCCCCAAAGGGCTACCCATGTCCAAAGAGAGAAAGTGTAGAGCGTTCATTTCAGTTTTTTTCCAAAGTTAGGGAGTTTTCAAATGACTACCTATTTCAGAGAAAGAGAGAAAGAGAGAGAGAAGGTGTAGAGCGTTCATTTCAGTTTTCCAAGGTTAGGATGGTGGTGGAGAATCCTCCAAAATGGCTACTCATCTCAAAGAGAGAGAGAGAGAGAAAAAGGCGTAGAGCGTTCATTTCAGTTTTCCAACATTAGATGGTCCCAAAATACCTTCTGAATTCAAAGAGAGATCGTGTAGAGCGTTCATTTCCAGTTCTCCAAGATCAGAAGAAGAGGGTCCGCTTTTCCCAAAAGGGCTTTCCGCATTCAGAGACAGCGAAATGCAGACTTCAGTTTTCTCCCTCCCCAAGAATAGAGGGTCCCAAAATGGCTTTCCATTTCAAAGAGAGAGGGAGAGGCGTTCATTTCCATTCTCCAAGATAGGGTCGTCTGCTTTTTCCCAAAATGGCTTCCCAATTCAAAGAGAGAGAGAGAGTGAAAGGGTGTGTAGAGCGGTCATGTTCATTCTCCAAGATAGGGTCGTCAGCTTTTTCTCAAAATGGCATCTCCCCATTCAAAAAGAGATCGTAACCAATTTTTTCCAGTTTTTCCAAGATGGGGGGGGAAGAAAACCTAGGATGGAATAACGACACACACAGAGAAAGAGGGAAAAAAAAACGCCATCTTGTCATTTTCTGATAGGGTACCGGTGTTCGAATACTTTTGTGACCGACTGTACATGTTAGCCACATCAGGATGGCTTTAATTGTATAAGTCATTTAAAGTTATGCTAAAGTTTCAAAGTTCTGCAATTGTTCTCTTATTTATGCTCACCTTTGATTTAATAAATCGAACAGGTCCTAATTGCAGTCCAGGGTCACAAAACACACAGGTCTACGTGCCCATATTTTAAGGGGTTCTAAACTTAGGACATTCCTTTTTCTAATAGAGAGTAAGAAATGAGACATTGAAGACCTATGAAAGAATACTCTATCTTAATGCTCAATATCGTTACGGAAATACTGAAAAATTATTATTCAGACTATTCTGGATAACGCTGTGTCTCAGTTGTCTTTTGCGTTAGTCACAAATAGTAATAAGATAATCGATAATTAAACTAAACTGTAAAGCGTTCTTTAGATTGATTGACTGAAAGGCAGAAATATGAACACGAATTTTATTAAAGTTTCTAAAATGTAAAAGCTGATACAATACTTGAAGAAAACTGTAAATGTGTGGAACAGTTATTGATGGATAGATCAGTGATTTGAATAGCGAATATTAAGATTTTGATTTAAATTCTGTTATTGATAGGGGAAAACCTTAAAGTTCCACCGAAAAATGTTCTCCGAATAGTCCACTGAATTATGATTTTTTTACTCTTTAGAATTTGCCAGTCTCTAAATTTAGGTGAGATTGCAAACAAATTTCATTCCCCTTCTCACTATCCAAGTTATTCAAAAAAAAAAATATCATTTTTCACTAGAACAATGAGACCACATTACACGTCTGAAATTTCAAATAATTACCTGTTTTTTAGACTCCAAATAGTAGCTGTTGGTTATTCGTATGACAAGCTATGACAGTCTTTGAAGTCGGGAACAGATTAAAACTCTTCGGTAGCTTTTTGAGTAGAAAAAGAAGCAACTTATTAGAATAATATGAAAAAGGGCAAAATTTTCGCCAACATTCTGTGGTTGAAAACATTTCTTTAAGTGCAAGTGTACTCCCGCTGGCGTCTGCGCCCATGTGATGTGGTGTTATTGTTACGTCAAACATTTCTTTGAGTGCTCTCAAACCTCCATTACTTCAGCAACACATCTCTGAATGTTGAATTATGCGGAAAGAAAGTTTGTATGTAACAAATGTGATTAATCAAGATGCACATCACATGCATCTGGATTAGAAGAATAAAAATGAAATGGCATGGACGGCAGAATACGCAGGGCAATCAGTAATGTAGGGAGATATTTACACGCTTATTCTTTCCAAAAGTTCCTATCATAGCACGTCAGATAGACATCTGTATGAAGCGTTTATTAATAATGCAGATTTCCCGTTGTAGTATTATAGAAGATTTGATGTGAAATATTTTTACATGTCTAGTTAAGAATAAGATTAACATTAAGTGGACTGTAGATTTCTTTATTAACACTAACACTTTAAAATAAAAGAAATGCTGTCCACATGACGATACAGAGTTTTTAGATGAACATTTCACTTAAAACCACAGTAGCAATAATAAAAAAGACTTAGACACTTAGATATACCGAACTATTGCCTGACGCAACGTTCTCGGTTCATGAAATCACGCCCTGGGGCCCATGACATAGAAAAATCTGGACAAGGATATCATCTCTGATAAGAGATCGGGGAAAAGGAAAAGGGAGAGAGGTACCAAGAGAAAATGGCCTAAGGTATCTGGCAGGTAATAAAACATGGCAAGAATGGAGAAAAATCCGAAAGGATCCAATGACAAATTCAGAAAAGAGATTCAATAAACGCTACTATACAGCAAAGAGATCAATACTACAAAATAACAACACTAATTGAACCCATACAACTTACTTACAACACAACATCACAAGAAAAGGTACAAGCAACTTAAAAAACAACACATTTTGAATCAGATGGAATGGAAGTATGAACAGCCACCGATTGAGGAGCAAAGAGAAGAACTAGTGGTCTCCATCCATGATAGTGTGTGCTGCCAGTGGACGTATATTGCGATCATCAAAGAGAATTTCGTAGTTGAAGACTTGAGAATAGTTCATGAAGTCCCAATGGACTGCTTTTGTGAAGAACTTCTCATTTGTTCTTTTAATATATTCGGTGATGGTCTCAAGCTTGAGATCTCTATGAAGAAGTTCGTTGCGGATAAGTCAGCATCTGTAATAATACATAGAAATTGCTTCTGGACCACTTGGAGTTGATAGAGCTGATTTGGAGAAGCAGTATTCCAGGCGATGCGTAACAAAGAATTGGTCGAATGCAAGTAGTGTAAATATGCCTCTTGCTTCTAAGACTAAGATTAGAAAATTTACCAATGACTGGAAGAATGCACATAATTCCAATGGCTTTATTTTTTATATTCTTAACAAGATTAGTCCAAGTGAGAGTTTGGTTTAAAGTATTTAGCTTTTTTAACTATTGGAACTTGTTCTTGAAAAAGGTAAAGTTTGCTAACATTGGTGCGTTGTTTTAGTTTTACTGAGGATTAACAGTTGGGATTTACTGGCGTGAAATTTTTACTCTCCAGTTGTTGCACCAGTCTTCAACAGTGTACAGATATTCTTGCATTTTATGAATTGCTTGATTAGCTTTGATTGATTTGATAGCTATCGCCATATCATCGGCGTAGCATGCTAGCAGAGAACAATTGTCAAGTCCAAGATGTGTGAAGTCCGAAAAATAAAACAGGTAAAGAACCGGTCCGAGGATACTACCCTGCGGGATACTAGATCTTAAAGGCCTTGGAGAGGAAGTTTCATTGCCCAAAGAAACGATGAACTGTCGGTGTTGTAGAAAGAAATAAATCAGGAGAATTGGTTCTCTAGGTAATCCAAGATTGGTGAGCTTGGAAATGAGCTCCTCATGCCAAACGCGGTCAAAGAATAGAATAAAACACGTAAATATATATATAGTTCGTAGGATCGTTACCATAGGAAAATCTGTAACCATAAATGAATCATGAAGCAGTAGTGCCATCTATTGTCGTCAAGACACACTAGAAATTTGTTTGGTAACAAAAAATACTAAACAAGGTCCATTTACTACATCTGAATGCTCGTATTTCTCATGTTCTGGAATGCACTCTGCTTCAAACTATATACAACGTTTGTGAAACTGTTTGTGTGGACTTCATTTGCCCAACCTTTGGTGGTAGACATGTATATCAGTTACAGAAATGCTTTAAATAAGGAGATGGCATTTTTAAATTTAAGAAATGAATTTGATAACATTGAACTAAGGCCTCGCCCAAGTATCCCAGATTAAAAGATAGTAGAGGTGTCTGGCATAAAATATCACGAGTTTCAAGATCTGTATTTTACTGAGATAAAGTTTTATTTAAAATCTACAACAGCTTCAAGACTTTAAGAGAGCATCATAAAAGACAATTATTTTACAGATTTTGTGGCAACCTAATTATTGTTACGTTATTTAGAAATTGTTTGGCAACAACCGATTTTGTGTTTATCTGGATCTCGCTATTTGAAGTGAATTTTTTTTTTCCAATCTTATTTTGCATTAATTTTCGTACTTTCTGGTTAGTATAACTGTTCACACTTCAGCTGTTAGAGGTAGGTTTGCTGCATTATTATTTGTAGTCCAGTGATCTTTGTTTGTTAAGAATTGTCTCTTCTATTCATTATAATTTAACACGTGCTAATCAAAATATTAATCATTATGCAATTGATTATAAATCTTAGTATCTATAATTTAGTTTTTTTTTTCTTCTGATGTCAGTAGTACAAAATTTCATGTAAAACTAATGCTGTGACTTAAACCTTGATTCGCTTATGAGTATTTTGCAATTAAAAAAGCAGTGTCTATTTAAAATAGAAAAATGAGAAATAAATTTTAAGCAAATATTTGTTTTTTTTTTTCCGTCTCCTATATAAACTGATCAACAAACAGTTTTTTTTTTTAACTAGAATAGAAAAAGATTATGTATAAGATATTTAATTAACTCTTTCCGTAGAATATGGTGGTGTTTGCATGCAACCAGTGTGGACAATCTGTGAAAAAGAATCAAGTAGACAAGCATTGTTTCCAGTGTAGAGGTTGCCAGTCTTTATCATGTATGGATTGCGGCAAAGACTTTTGGTATGGATAAAAAAGGGAAATATACCAAATTGTTAATTGTATATATTATTGCAATTAAACATTGTATAGTTAAATCATCATTATCATCTTTTTTTTTTTATTCTTGATCTTATTATATATTTTGCTTTGATAGAAGTTTGATATGCTAAAGTGCAGAATCCCTCTTATTTGTTTGGCACTTTTTAAAGAAGAATTGGATTTTTGTTTTTGACTTTTTAAATGAAAATAGATTAATGATGTGTACATGGATAAAGTCAAGGGAGTGCGCAATGCCATTTTTGTGCAATTTTGGGATGTTCTTTTAAGTGAAAATAGATCGATGTGTACATGGATACTGAGTATGTGCAATTCTTAAAAACGTGCCAAGCATTGGGCGATTCTGCACTTTCCCCGTTTGATACATTTTACTTAAACTTAGTTTATAGTAAAAAATTGCTGTTTTGTATTATTTGCAGTCATAAAACATATAAAATGAATTAATATTGATTAGCAAAATGGGTTTTCTTTCATACATTTAATGTGTTAAACTCTTAATTTTATGGTTATCATGGATTTGACACTGTTTACAAGATTTTCAACTATTTTCACGAATGAAAGTGTAATTTAAAATTATGCATTTTGGAGTATTAAAATTCCAGGCAAATTTCTTAATACTTGTATGAGCAGTGTTTTATATCTTAATCCATGTCTGTTTATCTAAGTATAAATAGAGCATTTAATTAACGTTATCGTAAATGTACTTGAAAAAGTTTTCTGATTGTAATAAATAAAATATTTGTTTTGGCCTTCTGTTTAATTTATATATAAAATATTGTTTTTCTGTCTGTGATTTTATTTCATTCATGACAAAATATAATTTTAGGGGGGATGATTATAAAAGTCACACCAAATGTGTATCAGAAGACCAGAAATATGGAGGAAAGGATTTTAAACCCAAACCAAGCAGCAATAAAGGAGAAGTTAAGCAAGTTCAGTGGATTGAAGTATGTCAGCTTTTAACTTCTTAATATTGTATTTAATTTGTAGAAAGTTATTGCTTTCTTTAAATTGGTAAGAAAAGCATCATAAAATTTCTTATTTCTAAAAGAAATTTCAAAATTATATTATATATACTGTCAAAAGTCGTTGATCCGGAATGATCTATAATCCGGACCTCAAAGCTAAAAACTTTCTGCGCATGCGCCGCGTTGACACATGCGCATAGGCATTTACGCGTGCGCGTAAGACCTTTTACGACTGCGCATATGCATGTGAGCAAGCGCAGAATATGTTTTCGCGTGCGCATTTTACGTATAACGGATGGTATAAGCTAAAATTATCTATTTCAGTTAATGTTGATGATTGCGTTGTTCCTTAACCTTCGAATTGGATCCGGCTTATTATTTTTTGCAGACTGTAAGAGCAATTTTATAAAAGTAAACTTGAACTTTCGATTATGTCAAATAGAATTTCCGACTCTGGAGCTCCGAAAGGAACGTACAAAACGAAAGTATGTTTTGATGTTCATCAAACAAAAAGTGGCATTGCTGCAAAAAATGGATAAAGACATGAAGAATGTGACAGAGAGGTTAGTGAAAACGAAAAAGTTTCGATTGACAAGTTAGTTGGTATTCTCGGCACAGATTACGGGACTTGAATAGCGGAACTTCGTAACTGAACAAGAAATTATGTCTGTTTATAGAATTAAAGAGAAAGTATTATCACATAAAATGAAGCAACTTAACCAACTTTCATTGAAAGAAATGTTTAATAAAGTAAACAAATAAATATTAAGCTTTTTTTTTGTAAATTTTGATACCCTTAGTTTTAGATCATAATTGTTCTTTACTTCATAAATTACGGTTTCATATTTTTAATTTTAGAATTTCTGCATGCCATCTTACGAGATTTAAACTGATGATCTATAATCCAGAAAAATCGATAATCCGGAATCGCCGAAGTCCCTACGAGTCCGGATTGACTGTATAATGTATTATATTCTTAATAGAAATTTTTGATTGACATAGATCTTGATAGTACTGACAGAAGTGATTTAGATCTTGATCGTTTTCTTAACACAGTTAAATCTCTTTGGTCAGTGAATGTAATTAAACTTTTAACTGAGATTATATTTTTTGTTACACAAAGTAAATTTCAAGTACAATCAAGTCTTTAATCTGGACTCGTCGGGACTTCGGCGATTCCGGATTATAGATCATCAGTTTAAATCTGGTAAGATGGCATGCAGAAATTATAAAATTAAAAATATGAAACCGTAATTTATAAAATAATGACATACTTTTTATAATTTTTTTAAATTCCTATTTTCAGATTGTTATTTCAAAGATTAAAATATATGTTATGTATTAAGTAATATTTGATTTCTTGTGATTTTTTTTATAGCATATTAAGAAAGTCATTGCAACAAAGAATCTATCTGGGCCATTATCAAGCTTATTAAGAGAAATAACTGAATTTCAAAACATTCCAAGGAAGCGGGTTAAGTTTGAGGTGAATTCTTAAATGATTAATTTCTCTTATTTTTAATTCATATTTAAAATTTCTTAAAATACTGCAGCATCTAACTTTTGTGGACAGCTGATAACATCTGTATTGAATGTAGATCCGATATGTATCAGCTGTCTGTGAAAAGTTAACTATTTCTATTTTTCATAATAACCATGCATTTTTTGTTATTTTTTGCTTAAAATTATTTCATTATGATTTTATTAGAATTAGATAACTGTATTTTTCAGCATGATAATTAAAATTTATTTTTAATTGGTACATATTGTACATAATTTAACAACAAGCTGATAACATTTCAAGCAACAAAAAATATACTTTGTGCTTTTTAAAATTTGTTTAAAAATTCAAGGTATTTTGAAATATAAACTGATTATGTAATCACTTCTCTTACTTTAATTACTGAAGTTTTTTTAATCAAATATTAAGAATCAAATACAGAAAAAAATCCAAAACGATCTAATATTCGCAATCACCAACCACAATTTTTTTTAGGATTTCTTTTTTTTGGGGGGGAGGGAGTTATGCTTTATGCATGCAGGTTTGATATTTTCCTCCTCATAATAAAGAAAGAAGGGAAATATTAGCATTTCAAAATTATTTAATTTTTTCTGATGATGAGCTTTTAAACAACTTTTCGCTTTTGGGAATGTGAATTCTTTATTAAATGGTTCCAAATTTGGCGAATTATCAACATTTTGGCTATTTTTGAGATTAGTTTCTATAGAAAATTTTTAATTCGGAAATCTGGGAATTTTTCGACAATATTTTTTTTAAACTTTATAACATTGATTAATTGCGGGTTCAAACTTAACCATTTTACCCACCTCAAACTTAACCATTTTGCCGACGTAAATCTCGCCAAGCAGACTTTATTAGTGACAAACCTATAGTATAATCATCAAAAAAACTAAGAAATTCTAATTTTTTTTTTTTGAATTTTATATTATTATTTTTTTTCATTTTAATATTGTTTAAATTTTGTAAAAAGCCTAATAAAAATAAATTTGTAAAAAGACATTAATTAAGAATTCACTATGCTTTCGTGGTTCAACATCCTGTTTTGTCGGTTCATATCACGTGACCCCAAGTGATCTCATCTTACATAAGCTATGCTACAAAAATCTAATTCTCTCAGTAATTATTTACATTAATTTCAAGTTAAATCTTAATTTGGAATACAAGTTTAAATGCAAGAATTATTTCAATTCATACTAATAGCTTACTCAGAAATTATGTAAAACTGTAGTGCTTTACTTCGTTAGTGCATTGTCATTAGAATTGATGAATTTAATCCTTGACCATGCCTTTTCTGTATTTTCGCCTTCGAGGGAGTTGTATGATTGCTAATTGACTTAATTACCGCAAATGGCTTTAGGACATAAATTTGAACTGTCTGGTAAAAATTCTATGTAATTGTATGCCAGTATTGAGAGAAACAATCAATATGGTAAGAAATAGCTGTGAATTGTTTTGAAAACGAGGCGTAAAAGGTTACCAGCGAGGATATTCCGTTTGGCATCAGTTTTACCATTACTGGCGATTTTATTGCCTGCACCGGCTAAACGGAAAAGTACCGATCAATCTTATTAAAATAATGCTAATGTATTGAAATTGTGTTCAAGAAATAACATTAAAATGAAAATTTTTATTTTTCCATATCATATTATAAAGTGACATTACTTTCAATTTGGACGACTTATTATACAGTATTTTGAATTTGAAAAATAAACAAGTTAATAAATGCTGAAATTGCGCTTTAGCACAATTTACGAAGCAGTTTTTAGCAAAAGCAAAATAGCTGTGTAATTAATTAAAAATGCCTTTGTTTTAATTTTTATCATGGTAAGAGATTTTCCCATGTAATTTTCTCAATATTCGTCAGTTTTCTTTCTTTATAAAATTAATTTTCACTTTTTTTCTCTCATTTATTTTCAACATATTTCTGGTCTGTTACAGAATTGGTAGGGTTAATTTTTCTTTAGTATTTTAGACAGTGTAACTTGAAAAATTTGGAAGGATTTGAAGGAAATCTAGAAGATTCCAGAAAAATGTCTTCGTGGTATTTACACATAATGGATGTATTTTATAGAAAATTTGTGATAAACTTTTACTTTTTGGAGAATTTTTGGAAGAATAATGAAAACGTAATATTTGGATGTTTTACTTCTAATACTAGAAGTTTTTTTCGTAACATGTTTATCTTCCCTTTATTTTCTCTACTTTTCACTAGACAAAGCATGGAAAATATCAAAAATGCTTCTAATCTTATAGCATGAACAGGCATTTATAGAAAGGAATTTTTCTTTTAATAACAAAATTGAAAACTGACAATTTAAAAGATTCAACTTGTCTCAATGCATCATCAGTGGCATAGCTAGGGTGGGGGAAGGGGGCATCAGTCCTCGGGCAAGATCCATGGGGTGCCAAATTGATATTACAAAATTTTAGAAAATGTTTTTCATTCTTGGCGTACAGAAGGAGGTGCAAAATCTTCAGTTGTTCCCGCGTGCTGAATACCCTAGCTGCTGCCCTGTGCATCATACACAGGGCCAGCACTACACATTTTCCTACCTGATGCATTCTCTGTGGATCCTAAATTTTGCTACCTAGTGGCTTCCTAAATTCTAAAATTTTGCCATTTTTTAGATTTTGTTGCTCAGTGTGTCACTAAATTCTAAAAATTCTGCTACACAAGCTCTGTACACCCTCTGTGGATCCTAAATTCTGCTGCCTAGTGGCTTCCTAAATTCTAAAATTTTGCCATTTTTTACATTTTGTTGCTCAGTGTGTCAATAAATACACAAGCTCTGTAACAGGCCCTTACCATATATCATTTCATATTTATTCTGCGTGTTAATATTACTAAAGAAATAAAATTAGCACATTTCCCAATACATTCTAAATGCATTTAGTTTTTTAGAAAAACAAAAATCTTTAATTAAATCCAAAAATTCTAAAATGAAGAGGAAAAGTATTGAAGAAAGAAACCGAATACATAAAGAGAAAGAAAATTATTTTTCAATGATAATATGTACAGTTATTATTATGTAAATTAAGCAATTTTAATAATTTCAGCCTTTGGTATAATTTTTACTTTCTGCTTCCTCACCAAAATGAAAATCACTTAAATAGTTTTTAAACTAAGGTTTTGAAGTTGTAAGACTGAATTTGTTTCTGGCATCCGCTTGCACACTGCATTCGTTTCTACCAGCTCTGGTAATTTGTAATTATTTATATTGTGTTATCGGTGCAAATATTTGAATTTGTTTCACGATAACTACCTTACGACGAGTTACGAGTTTGTTACAATGTGTTACTGAGCCAGCTTAGTTTAAAATTAAACTGTGTAGTCTTTGACTACTAGTCAGGGTTCGTAGCGGTCCTTACAAGTGCTTATAAGTCCTTATATTTGAAAATAAAATATAAAGGCTCTTATAGGTGCTTACTTTTTCTTTAAAACCCTAATTTCTTTTTGTTTTTAGTGCTTATTTTTGGCTTTTAGTGCTTTTTTAATGAGCTCGCATCCCCCCCAGTACCAAAGCCCAAACTAAATAAACAACTTTTCTTCCTTATATGAACGTCAATGGTGAACATACTCCCGGAATAGCTTTTGCCCCTTTATCTGCATTAACGTAACTATTGTGCGCACGAGCGTACAGAAGGTGCACGTGTTCTATTGCTCAAAGAATTGCGAAAAAACGTAGAAAATTCCGGGACATTCAGTATTCTTTTTCTCCACCCAAAATACTACACCGTTTGAATTTCTATCAAGATTTAATAATTTGCATTCTCGTTCCGCGTGGTCAGTTCATATTGTGTTTATTACGATCATTATGCTTATATTATGAGCATATGTATGAATATTTATAATATAGTTGCAGTAGCTGCTGAAGTGTACATAAACTTCCAAAAATGGGTGTATTTTTACACAGATTAGCTTTCTGAGGAATAATATTCGGAATGGCTTAAATAAAAGGAAAGTAATCAAATAGTCAGAATAATTTTTTTTTTTTTTTTTTTGCCAATACCAATACATTATACAGTACGGAGGTTGGGAGGTTCTCCCCTTTCTCCGCAAAATCTCTAATATTGAAGCAGCGAACCTTTTTTTTTTTTTTTTTTTGTCACTGTCCAATCTAGATTGAATAGGAGTAAAAGTTTTTGCGGTCTACCCAACCCAAGCGAAGAATGATTCTATTCGGGAATTAACGCAGTCGTTCAAAAGTAGAATCAAAACACGCCAGATTAGTAAGTCTTTTTTCCTTTATTAGTCTTTGTTCTCCGAATACAGCAGCTGTTGATTCCGATTGCGTATATCACGTATGGAAGATTAGGCTGCATAATTGCACAAGAACATTTGCCTTGAGATTATTAGATATTAGATAATTAATTTGATGTTCAGTGAGATTTATGCATGTTCAGTTTTTCTTTTGATGATTTAGTGCAAATGGGCTACAATCACGCGTAATAGGAGGCAATACTGTGCTTTCTGTTAATGACTGCAGAAGCAATTTCCCGTCAGTATCTCTTTTTTACTTATTTTTTGCTTGAATATAGGGAAAAAAAATGCAAAATCGAATTTTAAGTTTTATTTAAATATAAAGGAAACTTAAATGTATTTTATTAGGTGCCAAGCGAATACAATTAACGGAATAAATTTCAATTTTCGAATGACAATTTATTCATTAAATATTGTAATAGTTAGTCTGCATTTTTTTTTTTTTCTCGTGCTTGAAAAAAATGCTTTACCTTGTTTTTTAACTAATGTGATATGAACCCTGAAAACGTGCCAAAAGTTTTAGTTTATTTTTTTATTGACTGTTAGTGCCTGTTAGTTGAATTAATTGGGTCACTGGAATAGTGATTTTTCTAGTTAAAGAACATTTTTTATGATCTAAGGTCTTAAAAAGGGTTTTTTTAAAACATTTATTTGTCGTTACTTTCACCCTAGCGATAATGCTTCATGTCAGTCAGTTTGGATATTACTTTGATCAGATCAGTAACCTTAT